TTAGAACACCCCCAGCAACTACTCAGTCGCCACTCAGAAGACCCTAGCAATTACCCAGAACCCCCTAGAAACCACCTATCAACGAGTAAAAAACACCCTAGCAACCATACAGAAGACCCTAGCAACAACCCAGAACAACCCAGCAAACACCTAGAAACCACTTAGAACAGTAAACAAAAACTCTTATTTTGGATGCGATTAATCGTTTGACAGCACTACTAATAAATACAAATAATTTATATATATATATATATATATGAAAAAAAAAACCAAAAAATAAAAATGACAAAAATAAGAAAATTACTAAGACTAAATATAAAATAAAATATATTTAAAAAAAAAATTTTTTTAATTCCAAATATATCAGTGATACTACAATAATAATTGATTGTACGTGGCTGAACATCTCTTTCGTCTCTCACAGCTTACAGGGTTATTCCAGTTTACTGTTCGCTTGGCCTCTGAGACCGAAGCTCGGTTCACCTCAGTAGAGAGAATCCACCATTACATCAAGGTACTAGTCCTACATCATTGACGATTTCAACTTGACATTAAAAGCTTCTCTTCCAGACGTCTGTTGTCACTCTTTTACGATGAATTCAGAAAGGAAGAAGTTCTATCTTTGCTTAGTCACCTCTGTCTGTCTTAGTCTCTGTCTCTGGAGGCTCCTGCAAGGGTGAAAAACCAGGCTCCTCCATCTGACTGGCCCCAGGAGGGTGAGATCGTGTTTGATAGAACGGAGATGAAGTACAGAGACAACCTCCCAATGATACTGAAGAAAGTTTCCTGCTCCATTCGACCAAAAGAGAAGGTCGGGATTGTGGGACGAACAGGCTCAGGTCAGTCTCTGCTCCTTGTGTCTTTCCTCAACAGTTCATATGTTTCATTTTTCTTTTCTCTTTTTATTATAATTTTGTGATCCCACAAATAAATAAATAAATAATACAGAAATACAATTTTAAAAAAAAAAGCTCTGTGAGTGGCTCATTCACATGTATAATAATGGCAAATATATATATTCTTTATGGTTTTAAATACCTAATAAAGTATATAGTGTGTAATAACAGAGGTTAATAACAAATGTTTATCAAGAAAAACATTCTTATGCAAGTCAGATATTCAACTTATGCTAACTTTTAGAATCAAGCCTTTTATGAAATGACTTTCATGGATGAAAATAGAAGGTGAAATCAGAGAAATTATGTATAATAGAGAGAAAAACAATAAATCTGCTTTCACATCTGTCCTCAGGGAAGTCTTCTCTGGGAGTGGTTCTCTACCGGCTGGTAGAACCGTGTGGCGGCTCCATTAAGATTGATGGTGTCAACATTTGCAACATTGGCCTTGCTGATTTGCGCAGCAAACTGTCAATCATTCCACAGGAGCCAGTGCTTTTCAGTGGTACTGTCAGGTAGGCGGGACCTCATCTGACTTGTGCTGTATCTCAGCTGATTCCCAAAGACCATTTCACACGTATCATGTTAGGGCGTCATGCATCAGGAACTCATTGACACTAACTGTTCAACAACATCAACACTGAAATGAATCAGCACGGAACTGACTTAAGCTGAATAATGACATCACTGTCTTCTGTAGAGCTTATTTCCATCTTAACTTTACAGGTTTCATGACTGATGAATTTGACAAATAACACTGTTATTATCTTGTTTAAATCATTTGAAGCTATATTCTATATTGTATAAAGTGCTATATAAATGTGACTTGACATTGGGAAATGTTGACACGAGTCATGCTTAATAAAAGATGTGTCTTAATAATCCTGCTTCATATGAATGTATTTATCTGTCAGTTTTCTTATTTAGTCATACATCTGCATTCTGTTTTGTGTTCAGATCCAACTTGGATCCATTTAACCAGTATTCAGAGGAGCAAATCTGGGATGCCCTGGAGAGGACCCACATGAAAGAATGTGTAAGCTAAAGAAAACCCTTCGAAAGTGACACCATGTATAACGTTTACAGGAAGTAGAAGTAGTTTCAGGTTGCCCACTCTGTCACATAGCAGCTTGTCATTTAGTCTCTCACACCTAAGGGCAAGTATTTGTCTCCGATGACTTCTTGTTGCTCTTGCCTCCATCTTATCATAGTTTTCCCACGGCTTTGAATCTATGTAATTCATTGTCTCGCATCTCCTCTCTGTTGTTCAGGTGTCTCAGCTGCCTTTAAAGCTGGAGTCCGAAGTGGTGGAAAACGGGGAGAATTTCTCTGTGGGTGAGAGGCAGCTGCTCTGTGTGGCCCGAGTTCTTCTGAGACAGTGCAAGGTGAGTTAACAGCCCGACTTTGAGCTCGTCTGTTAGAGAGAGCTGATCGGGATTAGCTGATAACGCAGAACAGACTTCTGTCTCATTTAACTGGGTCATCCACTTAGTTTCCTCCTGATTTTTAGATCTTGATCCTGGATGAGGCCACAGCGGCTATGGACACAGAGACCGACTGTTTGATTCAGGAGACGATTCGGAATGCGTTCCAGGACTGCACCACACTGACCATTGCACATAGATTGCACACGGTGCTCAGCTGTGACCGTATCATGGTGCTCAATCAGGGCCAGGTACAGTATAGCAGTCTGATGACTAGTTTTGCAGTAAAATATCAGTGTGGTGGTATGGTCAGAAACTAACTTTTCCATTAAGGGGCAATATTGCCCCCTGGAATTGATTTCCAGGGCTTTTTTTTTTTTTTTACCTTTGTAGGGGCAATTTTCACAATTACCTTTATTAAATATCAGATACTTAAATGTAATCAATCAGTCAATCAGAATGCTTTCAGTCACGTGACCGGCTCGAAGACCTGGAGGGCAAAACATCCATAGAACTGCAGGACAAGCCTGTCAATTTTCCATCTGTTTCACAGCCGCAAATATTTTGATCACCTCTCAAAAGTATAAAACAAAGGTATGTGAACAAAATGCAAGTTTTGGCCATTTGCAATCCATATTTATCACCCGCGGCAATATTTCAATCATTAAACAGTGCGACAAAACGTTGTCAAAACACTTTAGGGTTAGTTCACCCAAAAATGAAAATTCTGTCATTAATTACTCACCCTCGTATTGTTCCAAACCCGTAAGACCTTCGTTCATTTTCGGAACACAATTTAAGATATTTTTGATGAAATCTGAGGGCTCTCTGACCCTCCCATAGACAGCACGGTAACTACCACGTTCAAGGTCCAGAAAAGTACCAAGATGCTCGACAAAGTAGTCCGTGTGACATCAGTGGTTCAACTCTAAAGTTGCGAAGCTACGAGAATACTTTTTTGCGCAAAGAAAACAAAAATAACGACTTTATTCATGCAGCGTGTGGCGGCGCACACGCTCGCGTCATGGTATTGTCGTGAACGAGCGTCCACAAGTGACGCAGTAGAGACGAAAATGTGGAATAAAGTCGTTCTTTTTGTTTTCTTTGCGCAAAAAAGTATTCTTCATGGTATTGTCGTGAACGAGCATCCACAAGTGACGCAGTTGAGACGAAAATGTGGAATAAAGTCGTTCTTTTTGTTTTCTTTGCGCAAAAAAGTATTCTTGTAGCTTCGTAACATTACAGTTGAACCACTGATGTCACACGGACTACTTTGTCGATCATCTTGGTACTTTTCTGGACCTTGAACGTGGTAGTTACCTTGCGGTCTATGGGAGGGTCAGAGAGCCCTCAGATTTCATCAAAAATATCTTGAATTGTGTTCCAACGATGAACGAAGGTCTTATGGGTTTGGATCAACACGAGGGTGAGTAATTAATGACAGAATTTTCATTTTTGGGTGAACTAACCCTTTAAAGTGCCATAATATATTTAAAACAGTAATATTCTCTATATTAATGATGCATAGTTTACATAGGCAAGCAGATGAGGCGGGAATATGAACGCAATCCGCTTAATGGTTCAGTGTTTTCCTAATCTAATGGTTTTCTATGGGAAACCATTTAACGTGGAACTTTGCACATTACGTTTATATTCTGGCTTCATCTGCTTGCCTGTACAAAATATACATAATCCATAAGGTGTTTACTGAATTTTGCCTTTTAATATCAGCGTTTTACTACGCTACTACTTAATGCAAACAGCGTAAAAATAACTGGCGGTCAGTGGAGCAAAGCTTCGTTTTACCCTCCAAGTTTTATCAACATCAACCAAAGCCATCTTCACGCTGGAACAGAAGCTGCATCTGACATGGCATTTATATGTATTTACACTACAGTTGCATAATGTAAATAGCCTGCATTTAGGATAATCGATAAAACAGGAACTTATTACAGAGTAGGGCTGTAATACTGTGACAAATAGTATTTCTATTTTGCCGGAGTCCCGCGAATCATTTTATTATACCACATCCCGCACACACAAGTGTCTACCCGCCCGCACTCGCTCGCCCATCAAGTCTTGTCCCGTGCAGCACTCTGTTGCGTCGGGTCCCACGGGAAAGCAGGTTTCTACGCCACGGTTCCTTCAAACGTAAAGAAGCCTTTTTTTCTGTGGTTCCTCTGTTTTACTGACTCGCAGCTTTTTTTTTTTGGACCCAGGTGGTGGAATTTGACGAGCCGTCCAAGCTCTTGGCGAACGGAAACTCACGCTTCTGTGCGATGCTGGCAGCGGTGGAGAACAAAATCTATATCAAATGCAGCACTGAGATCTAATAAAACCAACATTTTGCAACATGCAGCAGTGTTTTGTATGAGCTGCAACTGTCTAATAATCCTCATGGCAAGGCCAGTAAGAAGTCTATTGCAGTATCCTACCCTGCTGCTCATGAATGCACGAATAAGCTTCTCTAGGCCTCGTTTGTGCACAAAGGATCTGATTTGTACGGTTTTGGATGGCAGTAGGCTAATTTAGTTATGGCTTTTGAAATAATATTCCATTTTGCTAGAATCAGTATTTAAAGGGACAGCTCACCCCAAAAACAGAAATTCTGTTCCAAACCTGTATGAGTTTATTTCCTCATTTAAACATAAAAGAAGATATTTTTTCCATACTATGGCAGTCAACAGGGTTTGGTTACACACATCCTTCAAAACATATTTTGTGTTCAGTAAGGTTTGGAACAACTTAAGTAAATAATAACATAATTGTCATTCTAATTCATCTATTATCAACAGCACTGTGGGCACTTTATATGAACTACACTGTAATCCATAACAAACATAGCCCAGTGCTGCTGTTTCCCTGTGGTTTGTCCGCTGTTGGACAGTGAGATGTGCTGGAGCTCCGCAGCGCCCCCCTGCAGCTCGAAAACTTTCCCGTCTCGAAGTGATTTCCTCCCCTGCTTTTACTTCCTGTTTTCTGAGGGAGTCACTTAGATCGGTTCTGCTCATCGGGGTTTCTTCTTCTTCTAGCGGTAGAGCTCTCCGCAGGGATCTCAGGACTGATTGGGACATCCACGCGTATATTCTGCTTTAGATGGAGGTCGGAGGGATGAAATCAATGGATTTTACGTAGACTTGTGTTTTGTTTGAATGCCTTTTACTGCCCTCCTGGTTTTGTTATCATTTCTAGCATTCGGTTTCCTCCTCCGCGGAGTGTCCAGCCTCGACCGCCCCTTTAACTCCAGCAACAATGTAACTAACTCGAGCGCTCTTTCATCTCTTCCGCCGAGCTCGAGCTCGAAGACCGCCGCGCGCGGTCGCCGCCTTTAAAGTTTGACGCTGTCGTCACGTTATCTTGTATTTCTTCGCCAACTCTACGATGGCCGAGCTGCAGCGGCCGACGCTGTGCTGCTGTCGGAAAGTGCTGGCCGTGCCCGGCAATAAGTCCTGCGAGGGCGGCCGGAGTCTGGCGCACTGTCGCCTGGTGGACGTCGCGTCGGCGTCCAACTTCCACAGCTTTAAGCTCCGACATTTCCACCTGGACCTCCACCTGAACTTCGCCGTCAAGAGGATGACGGGATGGCAGGTTCTGGAGCTCACGCCCGTCCAGCCCGGCGTCCAGTCGCTCATTCTGGACACGCATCCTTCGTTATTAATTCATTCCGTGGACTGCAAGGTGCCCGGCGCGTCCGGTGCTCCCGACGTGTTTTTGTCGCTCACCTACCGAATAGAACCGTTCACCGATTACGGATCCTCTCTGAACATCAGCCTCCCGGCCGCGGTGGTCCGGCCGCACCGGGCTTTCCGTCTCACCATCCGCTACACGACCACAGACGGCCCTGCGGTAAGGTCAACGCGGTGACAGCCTCTGATACACGCTAATAATAACTTTGTTGCACAGGACTATTGTACGCAGAGTCAATATCCACTAAAAATATCCCAGCAGCGGAGCCTTAATGTTGATGACCAGCTCTGCCACCTTCGCTTTTATGGCCTTGTTTTGGCAGATTTAAGGGGTCCTGTGGGACACGGGATTGTAACATGCTTGTGGGATCACCCCATTTATTTATTCGACACATGCAAAGGGGAAACAGTGAGTGTGCTGGAGCTATACTGATAAGAATGACCTCAGTGTAGTGTCATGTCCCCTTAAGTGGATAACTAGAGTTATCCAGGTCATGATTATGAGTGCACGAGGTCATTACTGGAAGGTGGGCTGTGTTAAACAGATTTTTTTTTTAAAGTGTTTAGTAGTGTTCAATCCCTTGAATACATTCTAGCAGCAAAGCCTTAAAATAATTTCTGCCAGAAATAACATTTACATTTTTTTTCTCTAGTGCTGTCAAACAATTTAATGGCGATTAATCCATCCAAAATTAAAGTTTTTGTTTACATAATATATGGGTGTACTGTGTATATTTATATAAATACACAAACATGTATGTGTGTATATATATATTATATTTAAATATAAATATTTAATATAAAAACAAAACATATTTTTCTTAAATATATAGATGCATGTGTGTGTGTGTGTTTATATATATACACAATAAATAAACACAGATCACACACATATATTATGTAAACAAAATGTTTTATTTTGGATGCGATTAATCGTGTGACAGCACTATTTTTTTCATTCGTTTTCTTTGTATATAAAAAATAAAATAATAATAATAATTTGCAGTGTTAGCCAGAAACTATACAGCTATAATGTATCAGCATGACGACTGTGTTTCGTGGAAAAGTCTTTTTCAACGCAGCAAAGCAAAACATCAGTTCTCACTGATGCTTCCAAAACAATTCATTATCACAATTTCAATCAATACCTCATCTGTAATAGCCAGCTAGATTAAAACACTTGACAGAATTCATAACAAATTAAACAACTAACATCACAGAGAGTCAAATATATGAGTTTGCAATGCATAAAAACATTACATAGCAAAATTAACACAGCTCAAGTGACAGCTCTGCAAGCTGCCCAAAATTGGCCCCAGGCTACAAGGTGATTCTTACTGCTGAGCCCTGCTTACACTGTGCTGTTTTAGTGGTGTAATATACACACAAAACATGGGCATTTTAGCTGCTCACCTCTATATGGGTAGTTGTCTTCTGTTTCTTCAACTTCATCAATTTAACTTGACGTTTGGATTCGCAACTGCTTCACCTGTATGAAATAAATGAAATGACAGTGCTTTAATCTATTAACCATGCAACCTAAACCTTGTTACGTAAATCTGTATTGAATCATTTGCATGTTCAGAGCTATTCCCTAGAACGTTTATTTGCCAAAGCTATTCCCTCACCTCGTTGTTCCCTGGTTCCTTCATCAGATTTGGTGGCTGGATGCAGAGCTGACATGCGGACAAACCCGTCCGTTGGTCTTCACTCAGGGTCACTCGGTCTGCAACCGGTCGTTTTTTCCCTGTTTTGACACGCCAGCCGTCAAAAGCACCTACTCTGCCACTGTCAGGGTGAGTCTATCTAAGCTGCTCAGAGCCACCAAAACAGCTCTGTGGGCATTCGGTGTTGTTTTCTGGTTTTAGATCATGTGTACTGCGTTACAGGTACCAGAGGGTGTTACAGTATTGATGAGTGCCTCAAGAAGTGCATACTCTAAACAGGACAGGGTTTTCCAGTTCTCCATGGAGTACCCTGTCCCAGCCTACTTGGTTGCCCTGGTGGCAGGAGACCTACAGCATGCAGACATTGGGCCCAGGTAAACAGGGATGGAGTACCCCTGCTGAAAAGAAGAGAATAGTTTGATACCAGCATATGCTGTTTTGAACAGCGATATACTGGTGCTCAGTCTAGGATACGCTTGCGGTGGTTTGTCTCAAATAGGTTGCTTAACCACAGGTGGCAAGACCACAACATTTACCAGCATGAAGGTGCTACCTTGGTCAACAAGGTTAACAGAAATACCATGCCGGTTGCTGTTTTTGCTTCCAAACAGCATGGATATGCTGGTTCATCAGCTATATCCAGCCTAGAAATGCTGACTTTTTTAGCTGGCTTATGTGCCAATTATCTAAGATATGTGCATTGTTTTCATTAGTGTTCAATGCTTTACCTTGGCCACAATCTGCTTTTAGGAGTCGTGTGTGGGCAGAGCCCTGCATCCTGACGTGTGCGGTCAGTAAACTGGGCGGCAATGTGGAGCGCTGGCTTAATGTGGCAGAGGGGCTTTTTGGGCCCTATGTATGGGGAAGGTCAGTTCCGTACTTTTCAGTCATATCAATCTTGTTCGCCTTATTGCATCAAGCTTGTTGTCATATTCAGGTATTAACCTGTCTCTTCCTTTACAGGTACGACATAGTGTTCCTTCCTCCTTCATTCCCCATCGTTGCCATGGAGAATCCCTGTCTTACTTTCATAATTTCCTCCATACTGGAGAGTCAAGAGTTTCTGCTGATTGATGTCATCCATGAGATTGCTCACGGCTGGTTTGGCAATGCGGTCACCAATGCTACCTGGGAAGAAATGTGGCTCAGTGAGGGTCTGGCCACTTATGCTCAGAGGCGCATTACCACAGAGGCCTATGGTATACATGTCCTCACACGTATCCAAACTTAGAAACATCACCATGTAGGCCTTTTGGAAATGGTTATGTATACATTCCACAAAGATTCATACTTGTGTAGAATGATGCCAGTGATATGGGAGTGTTATACCCCAGCAAATGCAAAACTTCTGTGGAGTGATTCACACAGGCCTATAAATATTCCACAATGCTCTCGTTACATTTATCACTTCAATTTTCTGATTCAGGAGAAGCCTTCACTTGTCTTGAGACAGTGTTCCGTCTAGATGCTCTTCACAGACAGATGCGTCTTCTTGGAGACAACAATCCTGTCAGTAAGCTGCAGGCAAAATTTGAGCCAGGTACAACCTTTTTAACAATATAAACCAGCCTTTGTATGAGTCTGAAAGAGAACTTGGGTTTGGCACGTGGTGCTTTTTCCGTACACCTGAAATAGCTGTGTGGTAAATGCATCTAAAATTCCTGGTTACTAAGATTTCAGAAAGACAGAAGCAAGGAAAATCCTCATTTGCAATGTTGAGCCTGTCTGGAAAATGTGCTTAAATATTTATAATGTTCTTGTGAAGTGTCAGACCCATGATTCATGGGTCAGTGTTCCATGTTATCCATTTTCCTTCTCTTTCTCCAAAGGTGTAAACCCCAGCAGTCTAATGAATCTGTTCACCTATGAGAAAGGCTTCTGCTTTGTATCTTACCTCTCACAGCTGTGTGGCGACATCAAGAGATTTGATAGCTTTCTTAGGGTGAGAAAAACGACATTCACCGCACACATGCGTGAATTTTCATGCTCCACTGTACATATATGGCATGGTCCACACATGAAGTTTCTGAATTCGTGCACTGTGTAGGCCTACATTGAGAAGTTCAGATTCAGCAGCGTAATCGCTCAGAATCTGTTGGACTTTTTCCTTGGCTTCTTCCCTGAGCTGAAGGAGAGCTGCGTTGCTGAACGAGAGGGTGAGTTTCGACAGCTGTCAGAGATGATGATTAACACACAGAGACACTAATAGTTACTCATCTCACTGCGCTCCATTTGTCCTCGGTTAGGATTTTCCCTGTTGAGCCAGTCATAACACCCAGTGTGAGGGGTCAAAGCAACATTAGCAGCGTGAGAGATGGAGGCTAAATAAACAGAAATGTGACACTTCTTCCCCTCCTTCTTCCTTCCCCTCTTGCTCAGGTCTAGAATTTGAGCGATGGCTAAATGGCTGTGGTCCTCCGTTATGTGAACCGGATCTCTCGGCGGGTAGAGCTCTAACAGGCCCTGTTCAGCACCTGTGTGATCTTTGGGGCGTGGATGCCCCTGACCCCCAAGTGATCTCTACATTTGACCTCTCCTCCTGGAGCACCTTTCAGACTGTCCTCTTCCTGGACCGCCTTCTAGACCGCTCACCTCTGTCTCAAGGTATTAAGAATCCATTTCGCAATTTGTCAACATTCATTTCATTTTAGTATCCCCTGTGCGTTGATGTTTGACATCTCTTCTCTTGTAATGTGAAATGTGATTGACCTTTCAGAAGTGATGAGTCTTTTGTCAAGCTGCTACTCTGCGTTGTTGGACGGCATGAACGCTGAAGTCCAGATTCGATGGCTGCAGATTGTTGTGCGGAACAGCTTTTATCCTGATCTGCCCCGAGTTCGCAGCTTCTTGCATAAACACGTGAGTTTTGTGAATTAAGTGCCTTTTGGGCTGTAACCGATAATGCATTTAAGGGGACATAACACACACAGTTTTGGCCAATCTCATGTTAGGATCTTGAGGATCTATATAGTAGTATTGCATTCTTCATATCTCCAAATTGATTGAGTTTGATCAGATTCATAGAAGAAAGCTTTACGATTCTCTTAGAAAACAGCCGAGCTCCTGGAGGTGTGTTGTGGGCGGATCTAGCGAGTCGCGAGCACGTAGGCGCCGATTACCAACAATACACAGAAATTTGATGCAGTTTTACTCTCCGCCTGCTAATGACCAGGATCTTTTAGCGCTGGGACCGCTCCATCTTTCAGTATCAAACGATGTGCAAATCCAGCGTCAAACTGGGCCTTGCTGATAAAATATTCGTCACCAAAATGACGGGAACAAACAAACACACTTGCGAAACTCCATTGCTGTCCCGAAAAAACTATCTGCATCCACTGTTCACGTAAAGCTGGGTTCTTTGGGAAGCTGAACAAGGTTATCTTTCCCTCACATCCAAAAACACACTTCTTTGGAGACATTCTTCTCGAGCAAGTCATGTGCAGCGCTGCCAACGACTGCCGTAACCTGAACGAAGCACGTTGATGGGCTGCTCTTGCTCTCGCTCTGGTTGATGTGTGCACACGCTCTTCCTGGAGAAGTGCCCCCATACAAAAATTCCCCCCTTCATGACGTCATGAAGGGCCATGCTCAAAAAAAAAAAACTTTCCAAAACTTATACAAACCCAGAAAGGAGTGTATTTGGCACAGAAATACTAATTCACAGAAATACTAATTTTTAAAACTTTGACCATGTTTAGCATGAGAATCCAACTATTTAACAGTGTAAATAACGCAGAATGCATGAAATAGCATTAGACCCCCCTCCCTTTAATGTAGCATTTCCTTATTGATTGTAAGAGCCTTTTGTGTGGTCTGAAGCTAGTAAGCTGAGTTAAAGCAAATCAGTATCTTATTTTGTTTAGAGGACACAAACACTATTAAGCTAGGGACAGTCTGGTTTGAAAAAGCGTGTAATTCAATGAGTTAGTGTCTGGCACTCTCTGTTTCTCCTGATGTGTTGATGTGTGCACACGCTCTTCCTGGAGAAGTGCCCCCATACAAAAATTCCCCCCTTCATGACGTCATGAAGGGCCATGCTCAAAAAAAAAAACTTTCCAAAACTTATACAAACCCAGAAAGGAGTGTATTTGGCACAGAAATACTAATTCACAGAAATACTAATTTTTAAAACTTTGACCATGTTTAGCATGAGAATCCAACTATTTAACAGTGTAAATAACGCAGAATGCATGAAATAGCATTAGACCCCCCTCCCTTTAATGTAGCATTTCCTTATTGATTGTAAGAGCCTTTTGTGTGGTCTGAAGCTAGTAAGCTGAGTTAAAGCAAATCAGTATCTTATTTTGTTTAGAGGACACAAACACTATTAAGCTAGGGACAGTCTGGTTTGAAAAAGCATGTAATTCAATGAGTTAGTGTCTGGCACTCTCTGTTTCTCCGTCACCCCTCCACTCAATATAAACTGAGTTTTCCTTAAAGGGCATCCACATTCCAGTGTTTCTAATAAACACTCTCGGCTAGTCTTTGACTATTAACTGCTTATGACGTCATGTCTCTTTTCAGAGCTGTGAAGAGATGTGCTCAATCACAACCAGTTTGGCTGGTTTCTTTTGCTTCATCGAAAGCATGTTGTATTGATTACCGTATTCTAAAGAGTATTGTGTCAAGCATTGTTACAGTTCATCTGAAGAGATTGTAAAAAGATTATGAATTCTTCAGAGTGAATCCTGATGATACCATAACTTGTCATACATGGCAAACAATTTGAAATGTATAAAATCTCCAAAGTGGAGGAGATATGAAACATACCGATCTAACACTAACTTCTGATTAGATGAAATGTGTTTAAAGCCATAGTACAATAGACAATATACACTCACCTGTGACGGCACATCAGTTTGCTACATTAAAATTATTGTTTAATTATTATGTTACTTGCCAGTTGAATGTTTTTTTTAAATACAATTAATAATGTAACTTTTTAATTGAACATTGGTGTCTATATAATATTGGAAACCTTCAATACAAGAAAAAAGTTATTGTTTTAGGCACTTCTCTTTGCTTGACTACAAACTCCTTATCTGGTGTAAAAACGCATTGCTTTATCACATGAAGGAGATATTTAGAGGATTCTCGTCAGAGTTATATTAAAGTGCCCCTATTATGGGTAATATAAGGTTCATATTTTGGTTTTGGGAGTCCCCAACAACAGGTTGACGTGCATGCACGGTCAAAAAACACTTTCATTGTCTTATAATATGCATTTATTTTTACCTTACTTGCTCAACGACTTCCAAACGATTCACTCAACGATTCATTTTTTAAAAGCCTTCCTTTGCGTGATGCTATTCTGCGGTGATTGGTACGATTGGTCTCATTTTTATTTCATCTCGCCTGTGATGCCTGATAAAGCAGTGTTTGTGAGCGCAGTGCTGCTTTGTGTACAGCGTTACCGGGGAAACCGTTATTTCTACCGTGGCATCTAGTGACAAAGAATGAATTTGCATTTTCATTCAGACCAACATGAAAAGACCAACAAGTGGGCGGGCAATATGCTAATGTTTCATGTTGACATCAACATGAAAGGGCTTGGGATTCGTTTTGAATTAAAAACGACTCGTTTCAATGATTCAGAGTCGACTCTTTCTTTTGAGAGACTTTATACACGGTGCACTTTCAGATTTATAACTTTGCAGGATGTTTTCATTCACTTAGAGCTGTGTTACACACTGCATGAAAGGTAATTTTCATAAATCCATAATAGGGGCACTTTAAAGTGTGAGTAGTATAGTTTGACTTTTGTCACTGCTTTCACTGAGGCATTCTGACTTGACCTTACTGAAGTGCTGTTTTAAATTAAGAATTGGGCATTGTATGCATAGAACTATTAACTTTTCCTTTCTTTCTAGACCTCACGGATGTACACAGTGCCCCTTTATGAGGATCTGTGTGGAGGGGTGATGAAGTGTTTTGCTGTGGAGGTATTTTATCAAACTCAGGCCCGTTTGCACCCAAATCTATGCAGGACACTTCAGCAGATACTGTTCCAAAGCAGCGCCCTTAACACCAGCACAGCTCCATCTTTACTCACATCACCATCCTCTGCCCCTTCCTCACCCACAGACCCCCCTGCCAACGGGACCATCGCCCTGCGAGACGTCAATGTGTCCGCATGAGTTCAAAACTTCTGAGGAGAAGCAGAAGGTTTGAGGTGAAAAGCCAGAAGGGCAGGAACTGGACAGGAATTGAACTCCTTGGCTCAGACTGGACACTCTCCCACCAACACTGGGATGTCTGTTTAAAAAGGCAGACACTGATTTTTATAAGCTAAACATAAAGCTGCTCAGGGCTGTGGAACAAAGTGGAGGACAAATGTTTGCAATGGTTATTATGCCATAACCTGTGTGTGTGTGTGTGTGTATGTCAGTATCAAGGATACTGGTTGCCATCTGTTAGCCATTCACTTTTTGAGTGTGTGTAGATGTGTGTGTCTTTGTTTATTTTTGTGAGTGTTTTGCATATGTTCCGCTGGCCTATGCACATCATCTCATATGATGTGTTTGCATCTGTTCTCTGAGAAATCAATTGGAGGACTTAACAAGATTTCAGAGACTTTCCTTTTGCTAGCTACGCAGAGGTGTTCTGAGGAGGACCAATCCCTGACTCGTCGCCTTCCTGGACAGTGTTTGAGAAGTGGCATGAATGCACACAGTCTGTACTCACTGTGCAAATCTGATCATGGCCTAATGAAGATCCTGCAGAACCAACACACTCTCAGCCTTTCTGTGACAAACAGATTGTGACAAAACTTTTTGTTTGAACTGGAATCTGTTTTTCTCAAGCTTCTCTTTCCTGGTGCTAACCACTCAACGTTAAGTCTCAGGTATATCAAGACCGAAGACGTGGAGCCATGTTAGTGCCTTTCAAAGCTTTCAACACTGTGGTTGTTTTCAACACTGCTGTTCAAATGAACAGCCTGAATTTGTTATTTGAGCCATTCTAGGATGACATTGGAGACCATTGTCCTACTTGCATTGTGTTAGAGGTTGCTTTCAGGAATTGAGATGCTGTGGTGATTTTTTTTTTTTAACCAATGCATTTCTTTCACTTCTTTTTTTATTTTATAATAGGCAAATTTCCCTTAAATGTGTACGTTTTGAAGAGAAGGGAACAGATGATGATTTGTGAGAATGCAGTGAGTGTGGTGGGTGTTCAGGGTGGGGTTATAGGTAGATGTGTCCAAGCTGATCAACAGTGGCCTTAACTACAAGCACAGTGGAAGACAGGTTCAGTTTTACAGGTAATAAAGACATCAGAGAGCACTTTGTGTGTCATACCTGAGGATCCTAACTTGGATTTAATTTTCTTGCATTTGTGGGAGACAAATTCTCAAATCCACTTTTGTTGACTGAAGGCTTAAACACTGCACATCCAACAATAAAAGGGGTTGTATACAACCCTCATCTATTGATGTCTACTTTAATGAGTAAATGTGTTACTGATCCTGTCAGTGTGTGCTCTGATTTTTGTTTTCAGCCACGTGACCCCTTCAGGACAATTTTTTCATGGTTTTTCTATAGGTGCAACTTGGCAACTATGGAATTGAGATTGAATTTTTGTAGATGCTAAATCTTTTGGGGAATGAACTTAATTTAATTACAACTACGACATTAGTAATTACTGTTACTTTACTATTACCTACACCATTGCTTTAGAAAAACAGTAACATTGATATTACCACGTTAATAATATGAGAAATAAATCATTGTTTCACATGACTACGGTTACTGTGCAAAAACTATAGGCGCAGACTATAATATGAAAATGCAGCTTTCACTTTGAGTATCAGGAAATATTTATACACATTCCAGTTATGCAATAAAAACGATGCTTACCTTTTGTCAGTAAGACGGATGGGCCTGTATTTATTTATTTTTCATCTAAACTGGGAGTAAAGAAGCACCGTTTTAATGATAAATCTTTCTCATACTCTAGTCTTTGTCAGTGTTTGCTCATGCTTCAATCTTTAAGTCACTCGATTGCAAACTTATGCACGCTAATGAGTTAACTGTAAGATGGCGCCAATTATGCAAATGGGCGGAGCTAATTGGCGTCGGAAGGAAAAGCACGGTTCTTGTAATGAGATATTTTATGTTATAGATCTCATCTCACGGAAGCATTAAAGGCCAGTGTTGGGGAAAGTTGCTTTTAAAAGTAATGCATTACAACATTGCGTTACTCCATAAAAAAGTAACTAATAACGGTACTTCGTTACTTTTTATAGAAAGTAATGCGTTACGTTACTTTTGCGTTACTTTTAAAATCTAGACAGGGCTTGCTTGTTTGTTTTTAAAATAAAAAAGTTCTATTTTTGGCAAATATAAAAGCCTTTTCACACCAAAAGTGAAATGAATAAACCTCAGGCTGAAGGAAAAGTAAAGTTACGTCCGTAAAGTAGAATACAGAAGAAGACATTTCAACACATTTCAGCAATAAACAAAGACACACAAATGTTTGTCTAGAGTAGTTTGTGCTTATTAGTACGCTTGAACTGGATCATCGAAGCTCAGAAGCAAAGACATTGCTTAATAGAATGGGATTAAATACATAAAGCATATTTGTGTTGTTTAACATTTAATTATTGCATATTCTGAGTTGCATTATTTTTATTCATTTTGAGGAATACTGAATCTGTGTTTTTTTGTGAGTGAGATGAATTAATGCATATTCATATTTATTTTAGAACTACAGTAACATCTGATTTCTCTCAGCATGGGGACAGGAGAGCTGTCAGTCAATAAATTAGAAAAAAAAGTAACTTGCGTTACTTATTTGAAAAAGTAACTCAGATATTCTCTTGTAAATTAAAAAGTAATGCGTTACTTTACTAGTTACTTGAAAAAAGTAATCTGATTACGTAACTCGCGTTACCCCCAACACTGTTAAAGGCTATTATAAGACCATTACACTTAACAGCGGAGGCTATAAATACGTTACAGTATTTTACAGGGGAGGGAGGGGCTTGTGAAAATGTAAAAAAAAATCGAAATATTATAAAAGTAGAAAAAGGAATAAAATAAATAAGTACTAAATATTTTGATTCTTTGTGGTGAAATATGACCTGCTTTACATATTTCATGAGATTTACCCCATAAAAGGCATGCCAAGTCTGATATAGGCTAAAGACTTTTTTTTTTTGATGAACGCTCTCTTGTGCACCTCCAGAGGTGAACAGCTGTGCAGGAACCGTGTCCTCCTCTAGAGGGCGCTACCGACAAACTCATCATTACTCAAGTCTCTGAAAGTCCTCCTCGGGTAAGTTAACTTACAGCGACGAGGTGCAAATGTGTCGGGTTACTACGTACCTCACATCCCCAAAACATTTAAGGACATTTAAAATAATTTAACAATGAGTTTGCACGCAGTGCAAAAGTCGAGTTGTTCTACTGCGTGATTAATATGCAACAACGCGAAATAACGCATCCTCGCGCAATTGAGATGCATCCCTTATCCTTAAATGAAACGAGTACATTTATAGGCTAGCAGCCAAGCACCAGTATACTATGGGTATAGCTCGTCCTGTAGAGGGAGCGCAGTGGTGGATCGATAGGAGGGGCAATCTCACACCGGCCGACAGTTGTTTCCAAGAGAAGAGGAAAAAGCAACAGTATTCACACGGAGCCCAGAGAAGACCGACCTGCGCGATTCTGTCGCGTCGTTTTGGAAAGAGCACCATCTATTATACTAATATATTCTACTATTAGATAGATCTGTATTACATACGACCGCAAGGATACTCTGTTGCTGGGTTTTATCGTCGCTGAGTGAAGAGAGCGCGCAGAGGCTGCGGCTGGACAGAGGCGCGGTGGAAGCTGGGAGCGCGAGCCGCTGTGGGGCTGATGTGCGCGGCCTGTCTCTCAGCAGCGGCCCGCTATGGCGGAGACCAAGATCATCTATCACCTCGACGAGCAGGACACTCCCTACCTCATCAAACTACCCATTCCCGCTGAAAGCGTCACGCTCGCCGACCTCAAAAATGTCCTCAATAAACCCAACCACAAATTTTTCTTCAAATCCATGGACGATGATTTCGGGTAAGGCACACTATGCGTGTTAAATGACAATAAAACCCTTTGTATTTCTATCGCCCGCTGTTCCTGTCAGACTGACCACTTTCAGCGGCTTTATTCTGGTTGTCATTATTTTCGTCGCTTTCTCTCACACAACCTGAGAAATCCGAGCTTTCCTGACCGTGTTAGCTCTGTTTCCAGGTCATTGTAAACGCTGTATGTACAAACAGCAGACGCGTCTATTGTATAAACGGTGGTCAGTGTGAATGGAGGAGGCTTTGTGTGATTTGAGGTTCAAAGTCTGAGTTTTTTGTAAAGTCCGAGTAAAAAGACCAGCTTTTGTTCAGTGACAGATCAGGTGTGAAACCATAAACCAGATTAAGAGAATGCTTAACATTACAGTGCCCATTGTTTCATGTTAAAAATGTTTTACTTTCAATAGCAATAACAAGATGTAATTATACAGTATACTTACTCATTACTTACTCGTGTAATTGTACTGTGACATGAATATTGCAATGTAAATTGTGATTGAAGAAGCATATGTCACTTTAGCCAGTGAATCAGGGCCACTTACATGGAGAATCTGGAAACATCATGTTGTTTTAACTTTGCTTTCCATGGGAAATTCTGTTGTGAAGATAATTTTTTTATAGATATGTTCAGCTCAAAAAAGAAAAACAAACAAAACAAAAAAAGCTAAAGGTGTGCACTCTTTGGGGGTGCAACTTCTATTAAAAAAGGATTCAAAAAATTAAACACACACACACGCAGGTTTGTTTTTGTGAAAAGTGGGGACTCTCCATAGGTGTAATGGTTTTTATACTGTACAGACAGTATATTCTATTGCCCTACACCAACCCTACCCCTAAACCTACCCCTCACAGGAAACTTTGTGCTATTTCAGATTTTCAATACACTCCATTCTGTGTGATTTATAAGCGTTTTGAAAAGTGGGGACATGGGGTAATGTCCTGAAAAGTCACCTTCTCCTTGTAATACCTGTCATACCTTTGTCATTATACAATTAGTACTTACAAAGCACACAGTAAAGGCCCCAATATACGTCAAGCGAAATCGGAGAACGAACTGATGTGACGTAATTTCGAACAAAATCCGGCCAGAACGAAGTTCATTTTGTGTTCGTTTTGGGAGTTCGAAATGGCTTGCCAAAGCGAAGTTTGCGGAAAATTTTTTTTCGGATGCAAAACACCTTTGTACTACCATTGGTCCGTGACAATTACGTCATAGGAGGTATTGCAGTGCTCTGTTGATTCTTGTACAGCTGGTGCACTTACACACATACAGTCCACTCAGCATACTGCATCAGCTTTGTTAAGTGTTTGTTTTGGAAATTTGTGGTGGACAGACTATGTGTGTGCAGGATCAAGACCATAGTTTATAAGTTACACAGAGTATTTAACCTCCTTTGATACAGAAGTTGAGACTTCCATTTTCTGTCTTGAATAAAATGTGTGTGAGTGGTCAGTCTGGCAAATGTAAGCAGCAGAGAGCCTTTCACTCCCAGGCCGACTTGTTCTTTCTGATGGAAGTGATGTTTCTTTAAAGGAGACTGACCTACTTTCCCTGCTTTATTTTCCTGTCTTGTCCTCTCCCTAGTGTGCGTGTGAGTACAGTTTTCCAAGTGAGTTGGACAACATTAGCATATTGTATGTGTGTGTGATTTCCAGGTTATTAGCATTGTGTGTATTTTGAGTCTCTGTGGATTTCATTGCATCACTAGCTCATTGTCTGGTGGTGTCAGGATTTGGACTGACTGCGTCTCTAAAGACAGGATAGAGCGATTTGGGAGTGCTTACATCCTTTCTTTTTTATTCTCATCTATTGCCCTTTTCTCTTTTCTTCCCCCTCTCTCTCCTCCTCCACATCTTCTGCTGTGGGAGCCAAGCTTGTTTTCTAGACTAAATCTAATCAACTTGGGCAATGAAGAAGGAAGGCCTCTTCATTAGAGATCAGCTCTGCTCACAAATCAATGGGCCTGTCTACACACATGAGCCATCTGCACACACTGCCCCAATTCCAATGGGCTAGTCTCATGAAGGGTCTGTGTTTGTGTGTGTGTGTGTGCGTGCAAGTATTGGAGTGCTTTTTTGTTTTATTGCTAAAGTAGACAGAAAAGAGATGAAGTTATACTGTTTGTTACAAATGAAGGAGATCTTTGGCTAAAACAGTTGGAAACCCCCTCACAATTGTAATCAAACCAAGATTTCCTGTCAGTCGCACCAGACTCGGTCACAAGGGACAGCTTGGATGCATATGTGGGGAAGGCAGGCAGAGAGCCTTGAATCTGTCTGAAGATCCTTACAAAGGTGTGGAGGTCCAACTGTAATGCACCCAACATTTGATTAATTTAAAGGGTTGTTAGTTCATTAAAAAATGTGTTGTTCCAAACCCATATGACTTTTTTATAAACAAAAAAGGAGATATTTTGAAGAATGTTCATGCTGCTTTTTTCCATAATATTTTAATTGTCTTCAACTACTATGTACTGATACTTAAATTGATAATTTCATACAATGCACTTATTATATACATGTTTTTACACTGTACTTATATTCAAAAACACGATAACACATTATTTTACGGTGTTACACTTTTCATGTACTATACACTCTAAAAAATGCTGGGTTGTTTTAACCCAACCTTGGGACAAAAATGGACTAACCCAACTTTTGGGTTAAAAATTTAATAAAAAAATGTAACCCAACGGTTGGGTTAGTCCATATTTGACCCAAAGTTGGGTTGAAACAACCCAGCATTTTTTTAGAGTGTAATAGTAACAATAAATTATGCATAATTACATGCAACTAACCTTAACAAACCCTCATCCTAACTCTAATCCATGTAGTTAATTCATATTACTCAGTACTTAAATGTATAATTACACTGTAACAAGGAGACTAAAATAAAATGCAACCAAAAACATACTTTTGTGTAATTGCATATGTATTACAATGTTAACCATACCTCTACCCCTTAACCCACATGTAAACATACCCATACTACGAAACCTGTTTCTAATCTTAACCGGATCACATCTCAGTAGCAACAAAAGTGTTTTATAATACAACATAAACACAATAAGTATAATGTACCGAACATTTTTTGATGCATAATAGGGCACCTAATATGAAGTGGGATCTACTATAAATTGACAATGCTATAAAGCTTTAAAAAGGACAAAATCGTAACATAAAAATATCCACTCATCAGCCCACTGTGAAAGTTGTTCTCAAATAGGAGTCATTCAATCATATTATTGTCCCAAAAGTAAAAAAAATAAAATAATCAACTAAGGTGAAGCCTCATATATTATTTGTAAAGTATTTGAACAGAACATGGCTATGTAATATATATCATATATCATTGTTATGTAATATATTTATATCAGATGTACATCACAATCCTTAAGAAAAGATCTGTCGCTACTTCCATTTCATTGTGACTTTTTGTGTTCCACAAAAGAAAGTCATACAGGTCTGGAACAACATGAAGGTGATTGTGAATTTTTTTAGCTGTTCATTCAAGTAAAAATACAACTCATATCTGAGCAGGACTTTTGCTGCTATCTAAACTGAGGATTTCAGATAAAACTGCTTTAGGAGAAATGGGACCTCATGCTGCCAAAGGAATGAGGAGAGCAGAGGAGAAGAACAGCATGAGAAAAGGAGAAGTAGAGCTGCTCTCTGAGCCTCTTATGTCACAATCCCTGCTGAGTTTTTATTGCATAGCCCAAGCAGGATTAGAGTCTGCGCTGTGGAACGATCACCAAAAGCAACAAAGTGCTCCGAATGGAATTCACTGAGAGCTGTCAATCATCGTGCTCATGCCACAGTCTACATACTGTGGGATAAAATATGCACATACACACATGCAAATAAAGACCTCTCATATACTGCTTTTCAAAAGCTAGCATGCTGCCTATCTAGATGTCATTTTGGGCATCATCAATTTGGCACAGTAGAACATTTAGGGTGTGTTCACACTTGTAGTTCGGTTCGTTTGCTTCATTTGGTCCGGACCAAAAAGGAAAATGATACATTTGGTCCTGGTTCGCTTAGCGTTCACATTGGCATTTTTGACAGCGAACCTAAAGACACAGAACGTAAAGGCATAGTGATACGTTCACAACCTGATTGGTCGGCTTGAATGACATATATATCGTGACAGAACTCACGAACACCTCAAACAAAAGGTGCGTTAGACTTAAAGCGGCGCTGCGGGTGTATGACATCAAAGCACCCATTAACCGATCGGTCCTCTCAGCGGCGCTTTAAGTCGAACACACCTAATGCCGTATGCTGGACTAAGCGCGCTCATTCTTGCGTGTACATATACTTTTATTTTCACCACCTGCAAGCTCATAAAAGGCACTTTACCTCATCGTTGCTCCCCGTTTGCCCTCTGCTCATTTTGTTTTGGTTACACCACGTCGTCAAATCATGTCGCATAGCATCGCATCTGGTCATTACTTCCTGTTTTTGGTTCGTTTAGAAGTATTTGGTCCACTGTAACAAGGAGACTAAAATAAAATGCAACCAAAAACATACTTTTGTGTAATTGCATATGTATTACAATGTTAACCATACCTCTACCCCTTAACCCACATGTAAACATACCCATACTACGAAACCTGTTTCTAATCTTAACCGGATCACATCTCAGTAGCAACAAAAGTGTTTTATAATACAACATAAACACAATAAGTATAATGTACCGAACATTTTTTGATGCATAATAGGGCACCTAATATGAAGTGGGATCTACTATAAATTGACAATGCTATAAAGCTTTAAAAAGGACAAAATCGTAACATAAAAATATCCACTCATCAGCCCACTGTGAAAGTTGTTCTCAAATAGGAGTCATTCAATCATATTATTGTCCCAAAAGTAAAAAAAATAAAATAATCAACTAAGGTGAAGCCTCATATATTATTTGTAAAGTATTTGAACAGAACATGGCTATGTAATATATATCATATATCATTGTTATGTAATATATTTATATCAGATGTACATCACAATCCTTAAGAAAAGATCTGTCGCTACTTCCATTTCATTGTGACTTTTTGTGTTCCACAAAAGAAAGTCATACAGGTCTGGAACAACATGAAGGTGATTGTGAATTTTTTTAGCTGTTCATTCAAGTAAAAATACAACTCATATCTGAGCAGGACTTTTGCTGCTATCTAAACTGAGGATTTCAGATAAAACTGCTTTAGGAGAAATGGGACCTCATGCTGCCAAAGGAATGAGGAGAGCAGAGGAGAAGAACAGCATGAGAAAAGGAGAAGTAGAGCTGCTCTCTGAGCCTCTTATGTCACAATCCCTGCTGAGTTTTTATTGCATAGCCCAAGCAGGATTAGAGTCTGCGCTGTGGAACGATCACCAAAAGCAACAAAGTGCTCCGAATGGAATTCACTGAGAGCTGTCAATCATCGTGCTCATGCCACAGTCTACATACTGTGGGATAAAATATGCACATACACACATGCAAATAAAGACCTCTCATATACTGCTTTTCAAAAGCTAGCATGCTGCCTATCTAGATGTCATTTTGGGCATCATCAATTTGGCACAGTAGAACATTTAGGGTGTGTTCACACTTGTAGTTCGGTTCGTTTGCTTCATTTGGTCCGGACCAAAAAGGAAAATGATACATTTGGTCCTGGTTCGCTTAGCGTTCACATTGGCATTTTTGACAGCGAACCTAAAGACACAGAACGTAAAGGCATAGTGATACGTTCACAACCTGATTGGTCGGCTTGAATGACATATATATCGTGACAGAACTCACGAACACCTCAAACAAAAGGTGCGTTAGACTTAAAGCGGCGCTGCGGGTGTATGACATCAAAGCACCCATTAACCGATCGGTCCTCTCAGCGGCGCTTTAAGTCGAACACACCTAATGCCGTATGCTGGACTAAGCGCGCTCATTCTTGCGTGTACATATACTTTTATTTTCACCACCTGCAAGCTCATAAAAGGCACTTTACCTCATCGTTGCTCCCCGTTTGCCCTCTGCTCATTTTGTTTTGGTTACACCACGTCGTCAAATCATGTCGCATAGCATCGCATCTGGTCATTACTTCCTGTTTTTGGTTCGTTTAGAAGTATTTGGTCTGTGTTGCGTTCATATATCATTCGAACCGCACCAGAGTTCGTTTGGAAGCGGACCGAGACCCATCTTTTCAGCGGTCTCGGTCCGCTTGTTTGGTGCGCACCAGGGTTCGGATGCGAGCGTTCACACTAGGCACGGGCCGATTACCGGTTTCAAGGTATACCGCGGTTTGAAAATTTCACGGTTTCAAAACCACTAATATTTTCCGTTGTACCGTTCCTGCGATGTGCACTGTTTTTCATGTCTCCTCAAAGACTGAACCTGTAGGAGTCCCTCAGGTTGAGTTCAGTGTAGAGAGTAACACGACCCTCCTCCTCCTGTTGGCGCGAGCGAGCGGTCAGTCACATGTGTGAAGGATGGCCGAACTTAAGGAGCTGCCCCTGGAACCTACGCGATCGGCAACCAGACATTTTTTTTTCTCTTATTGCAACTCGTCTCTGTTCTGGACTTGACCAAACTGCGTTGCAATGCAATCATTTTCCAAAATGTCATTTATGTGAAGTCTGTAAACGCCCGTTAACACAGGCCAGAGACGCTGAAGACGTACACAAAGAATAAAATACTGCAGCAGGCAGATCACTCACTGTTCATGATGCACGAACTATTGGAAGAAAATCCTCAATATTGATTTGAGGGTTTATATGAATGTGTTTCTGAGGGGAACTGACCGTTTTCAGAAAAGTTTACGTGGTATTTTACCGTGAAACCGTGATATTTTTGCTTAAGGTTATCATACCGTCAAAATCTCATACCGGCCCATTCACACTTTACTCAAACAAACCGTACTAACAGTGCAATCGCACCAGGGTTTGTTTTAATCGAACCAAATATGCCAAGTGTGAACGCACCCTTTTGTTTGGGGTGTTCGGTGAGTTCCGTCACGATATATACGTCATTCAAGCCGACCAATCAGGTTGTGAACGTATCACTATGCCTTTAGGTTCGCTGTCAAAAATGCCAATGTGAACGCTAAGCGGACCAGGACCAAATGTATCGTTTTCCTTTTTGGTCCGGACCAAATGAACCAATCGAACCGAACTACAAGTTTGAACACACCCTTAGAATGCGTTGTAATAATACATACAGCATTCTGAGGTGTCCACCATTATGACTTCCAAAAATTCAACAGCATTGCCTTTCTGTATGCTGTAAATTGGGACAGAGAGTTGGAATGAGATCTTGAGCCTGAGAGGCTCTGTCTGACTCATCACTTGAACAGATGTGAATTCAGCAGATGCAGTCACTGTTGAAGGGTTTCATTAGATCAGCTTCATCTGGCAGGAAGCGAGAGAGAAAGAGAGAGAGAGATGATGTATGACACAAATAAAGCCCTGAATGTGGATGTACATTGTAGATTTTTTTCATAATATCAGTTTGAATTAATTTGATATTAATTGACTTAGACTCTAGGGGAGGAGGCAGTAAAGCAAGCCAGTCAGATCAGATTGAAGCTTGTTGTTCTCAAACATTGCTATTTTTATGTACAATATGCATCAGATGGTCTGTTCAAAGTCCATGGAAATGCCATCTAAAGCTGAGAGTGGCTCGAATGAAAAAACACCACAAGAAAGCATTCACATATATTTTTGTCAGTATGGGAAACAATAAGCTTTGTTTTGCTTTGAAATATTGCTGTTGTTCTATAGCATAGCCTTTGTTTCATCACCACTGCTTTGGTGTGTGATTAAAGATAGCTGTCTGGTATTTGTTTTATATTGCATGAATGCAATCATGATCACTCCATAGAATTTTATTATTAATAGATCACATGGTCTGTTTCGGCAAACCTCACATGCTTTTCCAGCCAGCTGTCTTTCACCCGCTTCCTCTTTGACAAAGGTTTCCATGGCGACAGGAGTCAGAGGGGTCAGCACCTTTTTAAGGAACAGCTAGGAAGGGGGAGGGACTCTGGGGTTACTTTATGGGGGACTAAATTAACCTGTGTGCATGTGAGGGGCCATTTATAAATGGAGCTGATCATTGTGGCTTTACTTATTTAGGGGTGTTTGCTAAGTCAAGCCTCATTATTATGACCTCTTTTGACATGAGCTGGTAAGCAACTATTTAGCAACCACTCAGAACACCCTAGCAACTGCTGAGCAATCACTTAGCAATGCCATAGAAATCCCCAGCCAGAACACAATAGCAAACGCTTACACTAACAACCACTCAGAACACCTTAGCAACCACCTAGCGATGTCATAGCAACCAGCCAGAACACAATTAGCAAAACTGCTTAGCAATCACCTAGCAATGCCATAGAAATCACCAGAAAGAACACAATAGCAAATGCCTAGAAATGCTGTGGCTTCCAGCCTAAACACTATAGCAACCGCATGCGCTAACAATCGGTAAGAACACCTAGTGATACCATAGCAGCCACCAAAACAATATTGCAACCTCGTGTGCTAATCACTCAGAACACCTTAGCAACCACATAGTGAATAGCGATGCCTTAGAAACAACCAGAAAACAATAGCAAATGCTCTGGCAAGCAGCCAGAACACTATAGCAACCACTTGCACTAACAACCACTTAGAACATCTTAGAAACCACCTAGGGATGTCATAGGAACCACAAAGGCACAATAGCAAATCCCTAGCAACCACCCAGAACACCCTAGCAGCTATGTAGCAATTGCCTAGCAATGCCATAGAAATGGGAGAATACTATAGCAACTGCTTGCATTAACAACCAATAAGAACACCTTAGCAATTGTAAAGCAACCACTTAGCAATGCCATATAACCACTCGAAAACATTAAAAAATGCTATGGCAACCAGCCAAAACACTATAGCAACCATTTGCACTAACAACCCCTCAGAACATCTTAGCAACCAGAATGCAATAGCAAGTCTATCGCAACCAGCTAGAACACTATAGCAACTCTTTGCGCTAACAACCACTTATAACACCTTAGCAACCACCTAGCGATGCCATAGCAGTCAACAGAACACAACAGCAACCTAGCAACCAGCTAAATCACCATGGCAACTGCATAGCAAAGGCAAAACTGACATTTTCTTCAGTCTAGTTTCTTTATGTATTCTTATTATAGTTGCTCTCGAACAAAACCATATTACTGGTTTAAACGATTAAGCAAAAATCAAAGAGGATTTAGTTATCCGTGAGAACAGACCACAATGCTTTCTTTTATATTTCGAGTGAAACTCATGTTTATTTGTTATTCTGGTGAAACATTTTAATAGACCTGTTGTTTCTTTATGTCTCTGCAGGGTGGTGAAGGAGGAGATATCTGATGACAACGCCAAACTACCGTGTTTCAACGGACGTGTTGTGTCATGGGTGAGTTAGCGATCACACACACACACACACACACACACACACACACACACACACACACACACACACACCCACACCCC